CCTTCTGTTAATGTTTATCTAATACCTGGTAAGGTATAGAGTGTGATTCAGGCAAACACCATCCTAGTTCTCCATGCTTAATATCAAGTCTAGGAACCTATTGTTAAAACTTGAGATTCCTTGCCAGGTGTAGTGGTGCACACCTTTAATCCTAGCACTCAGGAAGCAGAAGCAGATAGATCTCTGTGAGTTCAAGTCCAGCCCGGTTGGTCTACATAGAGAGTTCCAAGTCAGCCAGAGCTTTATAGTAAGACCCTGTCTCAACAACAACAACAACAATACCTCAAACAATCAAGCAAACTGCACATTTAGCAGTTTAGCATAATCTAGACAGTACTATGTGATAAAAATAGAATATGAGACATATATAAAGCCCCATTATAAAAATAAGCCTTTGAAATTAAACTTATTGATATATTGATTTAAGCCAATATACCCATAGTATTAGTATCTTGATGTGTAATCAAAATCTAGATTGTACCATAGCAATTATTAATTATATACATATTGTACAAAGTTTTCAAATTTGGTGTTAAAAAAGTTGTAGCACATCTCAGTATGGACTTCCCTCCCTTCACAAGGGTACCCATTATAAACAACCCTTCAACAAGAAGATAAAAGGGGTATAAACACCAGCTTACTGGGGGCATGGTTGTAAGAAAGAAAAAGGTGTTGGTGGGTTGACACAAGAGAAGAGTTTCGTCTTAGACTCATCAATAACTTTTGCAAGACCAATTGCAAATCACAGACAAGCACACGTCCATCTTGACTTCCTGTTCTCCTTCCTGTTTTGTTTCTTATCCTGCATCAACCAGCTTTGCTTCCTCTTTCTCCTCCGTCTCCCTCCATCCCTGCCTTAATTTCCGTATCCTCCTCTCTCCCTATTGCCCTCTCCCCCTTTGTCTTTTCTCCAAAACAACTTATTAAACTTGTTAACTTCTCCAGCAGCAAATTTTAGGAAGCACAGCTGATTCTGGAAATTCTTTCTTTTTAAAAGAAAAGTTTTAGTTGATTCTTGGAGAATTTCCTGCATTTAAATTATTCACTCCAGCTCCTTCACTAACCCCCCCCAAGTCTACCCCTACCTCCCTACCCCCCCCCCCAACTTCATGGCCTCCTTTTGTTTTTAAAATGACCCATTGACTCCAGTTTCTGCTGTCTGTGTCCTCCTGGATGTGAGGTTTATTCACTGGAACATGCTGGACCTAGCAGAAGCCACATGATTAAAGCAAACTGACTCTCCCTTTCCCAGAAGCCGTCAACTGTGCATAGCCCCTCATAAATGCTGGGGGCTTATGCATCCTTTCCCACTCTGAAATTCTTTCATTTATAGCCAAAAAGTTAAAAATGGACAGCTACCGCTCATTCAAAGTCACAGAGGAACCCATCCTGAGGTGCAGACATTACAGCTGGAAAGGCACTTTAAGTCTCCTAATGCAACGCTCTGTCTTGCTGACAGGTGTGGGGTGAGAGGAACCAGGATGGAGGGGAGGAATGTGGGTGACTTGATAGAAGTGACAGGAGAAGGTGGTGGGCTAGCCCTTGACCCAGTCTGTGACACTAAATTCCATTGCCCACTATTGAGAGGTTCTAATTTTTCCTACTGTGTTTTTGTCTCAGTATAATCTACACAGTGCTCCTAAGATGTCTAGGCCTAATTATCCAGTTGCTGGCATTCCCCTCTGTACCATGGTTGTGGGCTTGCCTCTTCTCTCCCAGTATCAGGCAAACTCCACAGTGTGCTAAGAATCTGTCTGACCTATCTATGGGTGGGGAACGCCATGCAGGGCTTTCCTAGTTTTCCTTAGCAGCTCTCCTCCGTCCTTCTCCATCCTTCTACTCACTGTGTGGCTTTGGCTGGCCTGGAATTCATTCGCACAGACCCACCTGGTTCTGTCTCCTGAGTGTGAGGGTTGCTCTGTTTGCACCCACTTTTTTTTGTCTTCCTTCTTTAACCATACTGTGAGACTCATGGGACTTGGTGCTGAAGACACAGTCCACCCTGCACCTCACTGAAAGCACAATGTGCCAGCCTCACTGTGCTTTGAAGATGTGGCCTGCAGCGTGTCTAACCATACACATTTGGTGAGCCTTTCAGCCTTTACAACTTCTTGCCTGTCCAGTGATTACCTTCATTACATGCATCGAACACATAAGAAATTGAGTCCTGTGCAAGGTAACAAATTACACAGCCAGTACATGACACAATTGAAGGTTGATTCCACAGTTTATATTTTAGAGCAGAAGGCTTGTATGTTTCTTACCAAGAGAAGCGGTCTGGATCTCCTGTGTGGTTGATCTTTAATTTGTGTTGACTTGAACTTTCCAAATGTGAGGGACTACAGAGGCCTGTGAGTGGACACATCTATCTCTTGGCAGATGAACACCTGTGGGCCAACACAAAAATTTAGAAGGAAGGTCCTTGGAAGCTAAGTGATCCTTTTGGCTGTCTGCACTGTACCATTTTCTTGGTTAAAACAATAGGCTAGATGTCTTAAGCAAAAAGGTATTGGTTGTGTTGGCTTCCTCTGGATACTTTGAGGGAAAAGCCATTTCATACCTCTTTCCCAGCTTTTGGCTGCTTCAGGCAGTCCTTACTCTTCCTTGACATGCCACTATGTCACCACAGTCTGTCTCCATGGTGATATGATGTACTCTCTGGTGTCTCCACATCATCAATCTCCTTCTGTATATAAAGAAGCCAAATATTGGATTTAGGACTCATTTTGATCCATTATTTGGGATGTCTACAAAAGATTTGTCTTTCTAATATGCTTGGTTTATCCACACATACATTCCTTATAGTATCATGCTAATATAAAAGTTAAGCAGACATCTCACCTGGTGGGGAATAGTTGTTTGGGTAGAAGTGATGCTGCCGAGTCCCACTGGGAAATCTTCTTTGATGAGAATGCTTTGGAAGCTTTCAGGCTCAACCCATATCTGTGGCGACATTCTTCAGCTGTGGCAAGCTGGGAGATTGGCACTGATGGAGGTCCAGGAGGTCCTTGAGAATGTAGGCCAATGACTAGCGCCGACAGCTGGGCCTATGTGGGCCCAGTGACAGTGTGGGAAGTTCAACAGTCACCGAAATCAGGGCCACACCAAATTTCAAGTCCTCTTGCTGATGGTTATTAACACAAAGGCCAGAGAAGCCATGTCTCAGGAGCACCTCAGAGTGATCCTGGAGATCATTCCCAAAGTTCCAATTTTTGTATCATTTTTCTGGGCAGTAACTTTGTGCTATCATGGCTCACAGCTTGAGGCTGGTTCACTAGTATATCAACATCACCTTAGAGGTAGTTCATTAGTATATAAAAGTCTTTCCTGGGCATAGCTTCTTTATGAGCTGCCTGGTGGCCTCTCAGGGACTTGATTCTGAGGCTTAGGTCTTACTATAAGATCTACCTAGTGTCAAACTCAGGCATCATATTATTTCAAGTCACACAAAATGGCTTTGAGTTACACAATTTCTTTTTTGTTATGTTACTAACAAGTATGGTCTCATCTTTGATGTGACCTCTACCCACTTTGTGAAAATAATTATTTATTGCATAATTATATTATAATGGCAAAACTAAGCATTTGACATTGGTGCAATGTGTGTATCTAGCTCTAAAGCATTTTATCTCCTATCTAGGTGACCTTAACCACCACTGTAATCAAGACAGTGATTTCATGACCATGAAGAGCCTCTTTGTGACATCCACTTGATAGCCATATCTGTTTTCTTGTCCCTATTATCCTTAGCGTCTAGAAATCTGTGATCTGTCCCTTCTCTCTAATGGTGTAATTTCAAGAAAGTTAAATAAAAAAAATGGGGTATGTGACATTAGACTAATTTTTCCCCCCACTAAGCACACACATGCTCAGAATTATCTATTGTGGTCACTGTTGTAGTTAAGCCTTGAGCATACATATGTTTGAGGAGCATGATTCAACATAAAACATTTATTTTCTCTTGTTTGGGTCCTGATGGATCTGGTTCAGAATCTTGCCCCTCAGAAGAGGATCCCAACACCACAATATGAATTTTCACAAAGTGACAGCTCACATTGAGAAACTGAACACCCCCAATCTCCAGAGTTCCCTTCTTACTGTGTTATAACCTATCCCACTTCCAGCAATGTGCCTCCTAATTTTTAATTTTTTTTACCCAGTTTTAAACTTATGTGCATGAAAAGACCCAGCTGTCTCTTTCTTTTTTTTTTTTTTTTGCTTACTATCATGTTTATGAGATTGCTTTAGTTGTATTTCATTTATTGAGTAGTAGCTCAATTGTGAACATAACCAAATTTTAACTGTTGGTGGATGTTTTGGTTGTTTCTAGTGTTAGACTTTTATAAATGAGTCTCTGAACACTGGTTGCTGCTTAAGGTCTCTGGTGTGCAGGGACAGCCATATAAGAGTGGTAGAGCCAAAAATAATGATGAATACCTCTCAGCTTTATAGAATCTTTCCCTAATTTGGATGAACCTGTTTAATCTCACAGTATAGTGAGTCTCAGAGTAGGCCGTGGACAGTGTCCAGCATTTCCAATGGTGGATAGGAATCAATTCACGTTTAAAAACACAACGAAGGCCTAAGAGCTCATGGAGCCCAGGTGCTTTGATGGGCACAAACCTTTCCCTATTGCTTGTTCATTTAGGTTGTCTCCACTTCCTGTGGAGACTCTCCATTGCTTTGTCAAGTTTTCAGGTTGGGCTGAATCAGATCACAGAATGTGTCCCTTTCTGGACTTTGAGGACTTAGGAGAGGAAAACTAGGAATCAAGCCTCCTCCAAGCCACCACATCTCAGAGGGGCGAGATGTGAATAGTACTTGTGAACCTTAGAGAGACCTGTCATGTAGAGGGCAGTCACAGGTGATGGATGATTTTATTTTACTGTTTTAAGTGTATTGGATTTCAGGGCAACTAAATGTTTAACTTCTTTAGACGAGAAACCAGGTAACTGGAAAAAACAACTGTTAACCTTTTAATGACAAAGGAGACAAAGATCTCAAGTGCAAAGATTCACTTTATTTAATGTCTTCCCCAAATATTAGCCAAGGGAAGGGACAAAAGCCAAGGGAAGGGAGGGGCAGGAGGTGGTGGGGCTTTGGAGGACTGCAACAGGGGTGGGTAGTCTACGGAGAAGGCGCCAAGACCTTAGGAGGGAAGACTGAGGCTGGTCCCAGAGCAGGTGGCGGTGCCTCGGGACCTCTGGCTCTAACACTCATCCTTCTTCAAGCTCTTGACAATGGCTGTAGATGATGTCTTATGAGTGACCTCACAGGCATACAAGTTATGCCTCTCATATTCTGCTTTGTCCAACGTGAGGGTGCTGCTCAGGCTGTAGGTGTTGTCTTTGCTGTCCTGGTCAGTGACACTGTTCAGGACACCATCTCGTTGTTCACTGCCATCTATTTTCCACAGGACACTGATATCTTTGGGGTAGAAGTTGTTCACGAAGCACACGAGTGAGGCGCTTCCAGACTGTAACTGCTCAGTGGATGGTGGGAAGATGGAGACGGTTGGCTTGGCATCAGCCCCTGAAGAAGGAAACACAGAGGATGTATGAAGTTACAGGAAAGGTCTTTCTTTGGGTGCATTGTGTGTGGAGAGTCACATTGTAGACAGACGCACAGAAAAGCACATACATCCTTCAGAATAGAATGAAGTTAGGAAGTAAACCTATGCAGTTCTTGCTGGTTTTGAGTTATCCCCTAGTTCCTGGCGACTTCTTTGGGAAGTAAATTGTGTCTGACCCCTTGAAGCTATCCCCAGACTTCCTTCTATACCTGTCTGCCCTGAATCTGTGTTCCCCGTCAGCTGCAATGGTTCTAGGCTTCAGAGAGAGAAAACCAGCCAGTTTATCTGACACCCCTGGGGTTTGGGAGTTTGAACACACAAACACATAAGGTAGGAACAGAAGGTTGGTTTTCCTTTTCTCCTGCCTCTTTCAAGAATTCTCTGATATCAACCTTTCTATGGCTTCCTTTGGTGCAGCCAAGCTAGACCCACCGACAGGGACTTGAGCCAGAGTCTGTGTTTGGGTGTATGTCCAGCAACTCTCTCAGCTCTCGCCAAGGCCTTCAGGTGAGACCTGGGTCCTGGTCTGATGGTCCGTAACCACATGGGGCAATTTTTAGCCACACCAGAAGAGGTCAACTGTAATCTGGGCCACCTGCCTGAGAGGAACTGGCTGGCTTCACTTCTGACCTTTAGCAGCTGTCAGATGGCTTTTTGGAAATCCCCCCTCTGTGGGGATGCCAACCCTTAGGTGACAGAGTGATAGTAAAAATGAAAACCGAGAGCCCTTTACCAAGAAAAACAACAGAATTAAGGACAGCTTTTCTCCCCCTTTAAATAAATCAGGAGTTGACATTGTTTTAAAGTAATTAAAAGTGGTTAAATAACTTGAATGACTCCAAAATGATTTCAAGAGTTTTGAAAGGTCCTTAAATGGTTGTGGTTGGCTAGGAAAGGGCCAACCATAAAAACATATTAGTAAATAATTCTAGAGGCTACAGAATTAAAATAACCAGGTTAAACAATTTTCTATCACTGAATTAAAGTACTGGACTGGAAAAAATGTTTATGCTAAATTTTTATTAGTCATATTTTTGCACAAAGAAAAATATCTTACCTAACCAGTTAAAACATGTCACAAATTTATCTTATTTTAACCAGTTAATGTGCCATATAATTTAATGGAATTTAATGAGAGCTTAGTCAAAGTAGATTTACCATGACTTAATGGCATACGAGTGGTGTTAATTCAATTTCCCTGGTTTGATTTTACTTTCAAAGAATTATATGCACTAATATAACACTGGGTATAAAACAGTTTTCTGCCTTTTATAACTCTCTAATGAAAAATAAGGGAATATAATGATAAATGTATTTTACTTCTGAAATCTCTAATAAGTCACCTTTTCCCCATGTTAGTGTACTGTCTGTCACATCTCTATTCTCTTTCCATTAGCGGCCCCGTTCTTATCACTGTGCCTCAGGAAAATGACCCCCAAGCAGCAAAGGGCGCTATGGCGGGGTTTGTGTGACCCTTTGCGACCACTCTGAATGGTTGGCATGGCCGCGTAGTCATTCAGTCGTAAAGAAGAGACTGCGGACCATTTCAGCCCCTCGTTGGCGGTAGAAAACTGACTGGGGAAGACAAAGGGCCATATATCTTGCACAACTGTGGCCATTAAAAATATAATACTATTTCTACTATTATAGTTTACATTCATGTAGAAATGAGACAAAAAACGAGCCATCTGCCAAGTACTTGTTCTGCCAAGTCTCTTACTTTGACATTTTTGTGACACATTTTTGACTTTAAGAATCGCATTTCTTCAGACTATTCAATAAGTCACCTTTTCTACACCCCAAGCAGTCATAATTTTAAACAGTTTGCTAATTTTTATTTCAAGGCATGATACTGATGATTTTTGTAGTTATAAAAAAAATGAGACAAAAGAGGGAAAGCCGCCTAAGGCCCCCTCACTCAGCTGTGCGATGCCATATGTAATGTAAAGGTCAATGCAGTGCCTGAGGAAATTCAATACAAGTGAACATATGCCTGCCCTTGGCGCTCCAAGCCTCTCTGTTCACTGCAGTTTCCACCCTTGGAGTCATTCAGCTGATCTCAACAGAAAGCTTTGCTTCCACATCCATTTTTACAGCCCAACCCAACTTTAGTTCTTGTTCATCCTGAAGTACCTACATTCCGCCTCTCCCCAAGTCTCCTACTTAAACTTTTAGAAGCCAACACTTCCAGCAGTTAGCCCCAGATAGGCAAAAACGACTTAGAGTTAATTTCCAGGCTAATCTCTTGACAGTGATCACAGTATTAACTACTTTTTCCTCAACTAAAGCCTCCCTTTTTTGGTCCCTAACCTCAAGAAACAGATAATCTGACATTGATGAGCCCTTTCTAATTTCTCAAGATGAACAGATTTTTCTGCCACTCAGCTAATTTTTGGAACTGACTTTAACTCCTAACATGAAAATCATACACATAAAAGAAAGATGAGAAAGATGCACTTACGTTTCATCTCCAGCTTGGTGCCAGCACCGAACGTGAGCCACAGTGAGGACTCTGACAGGTCCCCTCAACAAAAACCTGCCTCTGAAGCCAACCCAACTAGACTGGCCAAATTCAGAGGAAAAGCCCAGCTCTTTCTTCTCCATTCTCTCGCAAACCTATTCTCACAAGCCTAACTTGAGTTTCTTTGCTCAGCTGTCACTCTGGCTATTTTCTGGGACTCTTCTATTGATGTATATGGGTCACCAGGAATGACTTATTTAGCCAAAATATCACAAACTAACATAAATGATACAACAGAACCAAAATGTCACAAACAACCGAGCCAAAATCTACTTACGTTTGATTTCCAATTTGGTCCCTCCGCCGAAAGTGAACCACAGTGACTCATGTCAATGACCCCCTATGCCAAAATCTGCCTCTGAAGCCAGCCCCATCAGATTTGGCAAACTCAGAGAAAAGCTGTTTCTTTCCCGTCCCTCTCACAAATCCCAGTTTACTCACAAGTCTGTCTGTCCAGCCTCTATACTGGCTATTTTCTGGTACTCTTCTATTTAACTTTTGGGTCACCAGGAACAGTTCATTTAATCCAAAACATCACAGACTCACACAAAAGACCCAATGGGACCCAAACTTCATGAACAGTTGAGTAAAAATGTACTTACGTTTAATTTCCAGTCTGGTCCCTTGACCGAATGTGATTCACAGTGATCTACTTTGACTTCTCCCTCTACAAAAACCCCTTGATGGGCAAGAATCCCTCTTTTCCCAATTTAGTTATGCTGGTTTAGAAAGCCTAAAAATTAGCCACTAGCCAGTCTCCTGTGGAACAATTTTCCCTCCTTAACACCTAGTCTGAGAATGAAGTTTGTCACATCCCCGAAATCTCATTAAGGAAAACACACAAAAAAGAACAAAGTAGCCTGATTAGACACAGCGAAGAATCAGTTGAGAGGGATACTTACGTTTGATTTCCAGCTTGGTCCCGGCTCCAAACGTGTATACACACTGGTATCCCTTCACTTCCCCCCCATACAAAAACTGAGTATTGCCTTCTGACTACTGAGCAAGACTCTGTCTAGAACTATCAGTTGTCTTCATTATTACATTTGCACTTCAGAGGCCATGCACAATCTATTCCCAGCTTTGCTTACAGAGTTATTATTTATCTTGGCCCTGGAGAATGCCAGGGTCTGGTTTCAGAGTCAGATTTTGTACTTTTAGATGAAGAGGCTATGAGACATAGACAATGGAGCAAAGAGAGTTTGGATTCTACTTACGTTTGATTTCCAGCTTGGTCCCGGCTCCGAACGTCCACCACAGTGGTAGTACTCCATTGTCTGGCTGTACAAAAACCCTCCTCACCGAAGAGGAACAGAGCAGTAGGTCAGCTGCTAAAGCTGAACCCCTTCTCCAAGCATGCGTGGAAGCTCTTGGGCTTCTCTGACAGAGACATATTTATTTTCATAGGCAAGGCTTGAATTTGTAGAATATAATATATTTCATTATGTATATATGCTATTACACATTATATCTCTTTCCTCAGCAGCTTGCCATATAGGGCTGCTTATCATTTATTCATTTAAAAATAAAACAGAGGCTGGAGAGATGGCTCAGCAGTTGATGGCACTGGGTGTTCTTCCAGAGGACCTTATTCCCAGCACCCATGTCAAGCAGCTCACAACAGCCTGTGACTACAGCTCCAAGGGATCTTATACTAGCTTTTGGCCTCTGTTCCCCCAAACACATGGCACTCACTCACACATTGATAAAATAATTAAAAAAACCAAATAAAATAAAGAAGAGCCATTTGTTTATAACATTTCCTAGGGTGAGTGGGTATAGGAAATTCTGCAAATTATAAACTTTGATATTAAGTCAGAACTCAGTTCCATCTCTCAGTTAATAATAACTAAGACTGATTTTCTATGCTTTAATGCTGTTTCATAGAAGGTACATTATATATCTCTATCTCAAGGTTCATATCTTTGAAATGTACTTTGGAATTGAGTTATGGGCAACATATGGTAATGGGAACCATCAACAAAGGAGAAAGATAAGCTTTTACTCATGGAATGGTCTGTTGTTACAGGGCAGGTAGAACTCAGGTGTCACTGAGATCAAACAAGTTTATACTGCCTTTGGAGTTAGTGTCTCCACAGCAACCAATTAAAGATACCGAAGAACTCGCTTTGAGTGCTGGTTTATTTACTATAGCCTTGTTTAATCATCCATTCCCATCCTCTCCCTACCATGGTAAACTCCTTACAGCTCTACCATGGCCTTCAGCATTTGCAAAGCATCTTCTTTGCTTCTGAACACTCTGCTTTCCCTAGGATAGCTCAGAAACAGCTGTCATTCAATATTCAGCTCAAGAATGTCTTCAGACAGGTCGTTAGGGCTATAGAACCTATTTACTCTTAACTGCTGTTGGATTCTCTCTTTCCTAGTAGATGGCAAGATATTTGCTGTTTTTTTTTTTTTTTTTAACAGATATTTGGGAACTGTGGTCAACTATATATAACTGACAAGCACTAATCAGATATTTGCATAATAAGTAAATAAAGCAATTGAAAAATCAATAATCAGTGAGAGTAATCTACAGTGTGGCTGCAAGGTTAGTACTAATCATTACAACAGCCAACTTTCCTAGAGAAATTGCAAATGTAGCCAGATTAGAAAGCCCAGTTTGTTTTTGTTAATGGGAATTTTGCTAATCTGGACAGATTCTACATTGTGTTTCACCAGAAGATGGAGAAAGAGAAGAATCGAGTTGGAAGTAGAGAGAAAATAGAAAGTAAATGTGTAAAATAGCTGATGAACTTAATCAATACACATCCTAAAGAGAATGGAGAGTGATTTTCTCCTTAGCTATAGAAGTGATATAAACTATAGATTGACATTTGTTGAGAACTGATAAAATGCCAGGCTCACTATATTTAGCTATCCCATAAGACTCTATGAAGTAGAAATTAATATCGATTGCCTTATAGCATTAAAGGGGAGAGCTTGCACCTGAATCTACTGCTTACGTGCTTAGCACTCTTTCTGCAGGGTGGACACCAGTAACACAATCACCCGACAGAAGCAGTATGTATGTGAGTGAGTATTGGAATGGGAGGAAGGAAAACTCCTTAGGCCATCCTGGGGTGGGAAATGAGTCACTAAGTGTACCAGACATCTGTACACATTGTACTGTTACTTAAAAGGTGAAAAAAAAAATCACAAATAGCAATCCATCGATAGGAGTTTGGTTGAGCTAATTTTTGTAGAGCACAGAGAACACAAATCAGTCCACTAAGAGGAAAACCAGGTTTCCTCTTAGGGGGGGGGCAATGAATACTGTGTATGGCCTGACACCATGGACCTTTGAAAATGGATCCTGAAGTACAGGCTTCTTCTAGAAGGTTACACCTGCTGTGCTTGACAGTTTCTCCCGGGTCACTTTAGGAGAACTAATGACACATTCTGTTCTCCTGTCTATTGTATATATGCCTTTATATGGCATATTCTTTGACTGTTACATACACTCATTTGATAATAGGTCATTTCTTACATTTATTTTATAGTTGTCAGAAATAGACTATGTCACTGGAGGGGGGATGTAAATTCTGACATTGCCCCTTTTTAGTTTTCTCTATTCATTTTTTAAAAATTCCTTTAAACAGAGTTCAAAAGCCTCTCTGGTTCTGTGTAGGAGATATTTTTTCATGTACAGAATTGGGGATTGTAATATGGGAGTGGGCTAGATGAGCTGGCACTACAACAGACACGGTTCCGAGTAAGCAAGATTTAGTTTGAACAGTAGATGACGCTGGTAGCAGATAATCTCTATGAAGCTGTGTTCGGCCACACAGTGGTAGCTGATGGGGCTGGGCTCTCTATTCTAGTAAACGTGCATTGCTGAGAACTCTTCGAAATGTTTAATATGGGACTCATTATTTGTAGGCAAAGGATGTGTCAGGTGCATTTATGAGGCTTTGCTGGGATCTCTGCTTCTACAGTGTCCATGCTGGGAATTAGTTGATCTGTTGATGAAAGTCTACATATCAACCAAACAAACTGGGTGGTCCCTGGACTTAATGCATCAATTCTGAGGGAAACATTCCAAGATACTCATCCTTAATATTGCTTCCCATTTCACGCTCAGGAAAGCCAAATAAATTCTCAGAGTAATTTTTAACGTGTTTGTGAAGAGGAAGGGAGATGGAGAGGAAGAGAAAGAGGAAGAGGAAGAGGGAAGCCAGTAAGCATAACAACACATCTATGAATTATCCTAAATGCAATTCACAAGTTATGTCAGCGATATTCCTTAGATATAACAATTCCAGAAACACGTTTCCTTTTTGCCATTATTAAATAATTTTGCCACCATTAAACAGTCTTTTAAGGAGGGCTTTTTTCACATTAGCAACACAGAAGATCACACAACATGTCAGAAACAAACAATTTTGTTCTCTGCAATGTTTGAGGGGTGTTGGCTTCCCTACCTGGTACCGGAATATCCACCTTGAAGCCTCCTGTTCCACATTTCCTTCTTAGTTTATCAGTCATGATTGAGTCCTGGACAAGCAAGTCTTCTTGCTCCAGGTGGACTTGTCTTTGGAAAGTAAATTCACATTGTAAGAGGCAGGCTGGTCCCCTTGGCCAGAAAGGAGGGAGTCAAAGTCATTTGAGAGTGAGGTGCCTGCCCCTGCTTGTCCCTGGAGAAAGGCATGTGGGCACAAGCCAAGTCCTTTCCTGCCATGTGCATGTGTGAACGCCATCAACACGACCCAAACTCTGGTCCCATCTGGAAAATACAGCTGCATCTCTTGTTTTCAGAAGGGCTTAGGCTACAGCCATTCTCCGTCAGATGGAAGGGAAAACAGCAAGTGGGCGGGGCTTACTAACCTCGGGGGCGGGGCTTACTAACCTCAGAGGGGCTGAGCCACTGACATTTGCATATTGGTTGCTGTGGGTACCAGCTCACTTTACCGGGCCTGGTGAGCTGTATTCTCTGTCTTCTCCCATGTGCTCACCACTGACATACTGTGTGTGGTTGTTTTTTGTCATTCTTAGTTTTGCTCCCAAGGTGATGTGACTCGGCATGTATATGTGTTATATTTGGGTGGCCTCCTTTGTATCAGTCATTGAGGAGGAAGGCGGTGAGCTAGCCAGGTTGGAGAGGCTGTGTCTTGTCCATGGACTTGTAAGGTTATTTGTGCTAAGCAGAGGAAGTTAAATTTACTTCCTAATGTAAGACACAGGATCTGTACATAAACTTATTAAGCTGAGTAATGTTTCTAGGGGGAAAGCAGGCAGA